GGGGCATCCAGCATGCCCAGGCTCAAAGGAGAAGATGGATCATGTCACTTCTAAGAAATTTTAGGCAGAGGGAAAAGACAGCAAAGACCTCCCTGTCCCCCTACTGCCAAGGCTCTTGCCACACCCAGCCCTGCTATGTCCCCTCAGATACCAGGTGCTTATTCAGAATGGTTGGGGAAACCCAGCCTGAGCCTGATTGCTCCCAACAAGCTAGTCCCAGTTCCCTGAGGTCAGAGTGAGGGGGGAGGCTAGACTCAAGAGGCCTCTACTGCCTCTCCACATCCTCTTACGAAGGCTTCAGTGGCATTTTCCAGCCATGGACACCAATAGCTACACCTCCTCCAGCCTAGGCCTTGGCTCCAGAGGCCAGAGCCAAACACAATCCTTTCAGAAGAAAAATGGCTGAAGCAAAAGGGACAACAGAAGACAGTCACAAGTAAGGCAGGACACTGGCTCTCAACTGTTGTGCAACAGAAAGAGGGTGCACAGAAAAGACACCTGAACTACCATCCTTTAATTCTTTTTTTTAAATAATTTCAAACCTAGAGAAAAATTGCAAAAAATAAAAATAGTAAAAAGAATGCCCAAATATCTTTTGCCCAGATTCACCTATTAACATTTCACCCCATTTTATTTATAGCTATATATACATATATGTGTGTACATATTTTTTAACTAAATCTAGTTTTTTTTTCTGTACCATATATATACACTAAATACTCCAGTGCATATTCTGTAAAAGTTAGGATATTGTTTTACATAACCACAGTGCAGTCATGAACTTTAGCATATTTAACATTGATACAATAATGTAACCTACTATTGTTCATATCCCATTTTTGTCAGTTTACCCAGTAATGTCCTTTATAGCACTTCCCCGCCCTCACCACACTACAGGACCCCAGTCTGGGGTCAGATATTGCATTTAGCTGTCATGTGTTCTTTAGCCTCCTTTAATCTGGAAGATTTTCAGAATTTTTCTTTGTCTTTAATGACAGGGACATTTTTAAAGAATCCAGTCTCCTAGCCCCTGCTTTTATCTAATCTTTTGCGTTTGGGGTTTGTCTGATGTTTCTCTGTGATTAGAATCAGGTTATGCACGCTTGGCCACAATACCGTATAGGTGATGTTCTGTCCTCAGGGTATCACATCTAGATGCACAGTATGTCCACCTGTCCCTTATTGGTGATGTTATTTTTATCATACGGTCAAGGTGTTAGCTGATTTCTTCACTGTTTAATTACTGCATGTTTTTTCTCTCTCACAACTAATGAGCAATCCATGGAGAGACAATTTAAAACTATGCAAATATTCTACTCATCAAAATTTCCCCCTGGAGTTAGACCTTATCAAGCTTTCCTGATTTTACCTGGGGCTCGATGAGTGTCCGCTGGCGCCACCTACGGGGCTGCAAGTGCATTGCAACAAGGGGAATGACCGTGGGCCTTCTCTCACTCTTGCCGCTTGTCCGCCTCGGACATTTTATTTTTTTAGCAGCCTAGATAATCAACATTTTAAAAAAATATTTTATTTTATTTTGTCAAAATACAATGTGGTTGATTATTGTAGCCCATTACCTTCCTCCTCCCTCTTCCCCCTCCCTCCCACAACCTCATATCTGTTTGCTTGTCGTATCAATTTCAAGGAAGTGTAATTGTTGTGTCTTCTAACCCCCCGCCCTGGGTTTTTTTTGTGTGTGTATTTATTTATTTATTTATTTTTAGCTCCCACAAATAAGTGAGAACATGTGGTATTTCTCTTTCTGTGCCTGACTTGTTTCACTTAATATAATTCTCTCAAGGTCCATCCGTGTTATTGCACATGGCAGTATTTCATTCGTTTTTATAGCTGAGTAGTATTCCATTGTGTAGATATACCACATTTTCCGTATCCACTCATCCGATGATGGACATTTGGGCTGATTCCAACTCTTGGCTATTGTAAAGAGTGCTGCAACGAACATTGGGGAAGAGGTATACTTTCGACTTGATGATTTCCATTCCTTTGGATATATTCCCAGCAGTGAAATAGCTGGGTCATATGGTAGATCAATCTGCAACTGTTTGAGGAACCTCCAAACCATTTTCCATAGGGGTTGCACCATTATGCATTCCCACCAACAATGTAAGAGAGTTCCTTTTTCTCCGCAACCACGCCAGCATTTATCTTTCAGCGTCGTTTGGATTTTTGCCATCCTAACTGGGGTGAGATGGTATCTCAGTGTGGTTTTGATTTGCATTTCCCGGATGCTGAGTGATGTTGAGCATTTTTTCATATGACTGTTGGCCATTTGCATATCTTCTTTAGAGAAATGCCTACTTAGGTGTATAGGCTTGGTGCCTTTGTCAAAGATCAGATGGCTGTAGGTGTGTGGGTTGATTTCCGGATTCTCTATTCTATTCCATTGATCAGTGTGTCTGTTTTTATGCCAGTACCATACTGTTTTGGTTATTATCACTTTAAGAAGAACTTGTAGAGACCTGAGTCACAGGCCTGAGTTCTACTTCTGACAATGCGACTAACTCATAAGGAACCTTAGACAAGTTCTTCTCAAGACTTCAGGGTTCCCAGTAAAATGGGAGATTGGATGACAAAGACCTGAGCTATGCATTCATTCAACAAATATTTGTTGCGAAACTATAGGCTCTGTTCCAGGATCTAGACAAGATTTCTTCTCTCAGGGAAGTTTACACCCTATCCGATGTAGCCTGGAAAACTCAATTGTCTCAAAAATGCCCTATACGACTGGATTTGTTTTTTATGTAGTATCCAATCAAGGACCAGGTGTTTCATTTAGTTGCTCTTTTCTATATCATACACTCCAAGCTTCTCAGGTGGGAAATTTTGTCTTAAAGTGATAGAATTTCAGTGCTCAGTATTGAAAATTCAGGCCATTCTAACTGCTAGTGAAAATCAGCCCAGTCTAACTACTGCTAAAGACTAGACAATCTCACCCTCCTGTCCAGTGTTAAGACTGCATGAAACTTTATAAGAGAACAAACCAGGGTTGTTCAATGAGTCTTGGGAATGTTATTCATACAAAAGCATCTTTTAAGAGGCCTGTGTGCTTCATAAACTGTTAAATTCTATAAAATGTAACCTAATCTGCAAATCTGTTTGGTTGTCTTAATTTATTACTCTTTTGATACTTGTTTAATCTGACATCCCTGCTTTTAAAATACTTGAGAGGTTTCTTAAGTCAGAAGAACAACTTTGGAATTCCCTTCCCCCTGTATGCTTCTCATTACACTGGTGTATTCCTAATTCAGACTTTGAGAGTTGTTTTCTCATTTAAAGTAAGTAATTGAGACATCCAAGTAGAGGTGTCCAATAGACCATAGATTATGTGGGTCTGGAGTTCAGAACAGCAGGCTCATGACTTTTATCAGATTCTCCAAGTTTCTGAATCAGTCATATTGTTTAGTTGCAAGTAACAGAAACCAATTCTGGCTTACTTAAGCAGCAAATGAACTTATTAAAAGATTTTTTAGGTAGTTCACAGAATTGTCAGGAAGGCTGGAGAATTAAGCTAAGAGCTGTGCAGCCAGGAACAATTGCTAAAATCATGTGTGGAACGGAGTCTGCTGAGCAAACTGTCACTGCCAGCTGGCACCAGGTGCTTCAACTTATACTGTACTACTGCTGCCATGGAAACCCCACCTCCCTGCAAACCACACTGCCACCAGAGAAGTGTCTCTGCTTTTTTTTTTTTTTTTTTTTTTTTTTTTTTTTTTTTTTTTAAACCACTACCACTGGATCTGTACCCTGGCTTCAAGGGATGCTGGGAAATCAAGATTTTTGTATATTTAGCTTCTGTAGTGAGGAGTGAACTGCGCTTCCCAAGACTCCTGAGGTGGGGAACACACCAAAAATAGGAAAGAAATTCAGACTTTATGCAGACAATGAATGACAAATATTCATTACAATATCCTTGACCCCCCAAAATGGCTAGAAACCACTGGTGTAAAGTGAGCAAAGAGGAAGCTAAGGATATGTATAGGGGCTGAGCGAAAGCTATGCTAATTGTCTGTTTGGGGTTATTGTTGGAATCCTGCCGAGGTAGCCAATTGTATTGCTAAGTGTATTGCTATAGCAATAGCTACGCCAATTGTCTGGTTGGGATTATTGTCAAATCCTGCCAACATAGGCAACTGTAAAGCTACATGACAACACCAATTGAATAGCTAGGCAATTCATATCTAAAGCAAAAACGTTTCATTATTTTAGTTATACTAAGTTTCCATTTGTATTGTCAGGGCTAGGGCTCAGACCCTTCAAACCCATTGTACAGACTGGGTCACCAGACCCCTCACATGCCAGGCTGGGTCATAGACCCCTCACACACAGGTCCATGCTAGGTAATTGGAAAAGATCCTGGGAGCCATTGGCAGATGACATGAGCTCAGTCTTCAGTAGCAGCAGCAGCGGGTGGCCTCTTGGAGCATCCCAGGGGCAGTGGCAGCAACAACCTCCAGCAGCGGCCTCCCCATGGCCCCCTGGGGGGCATCCCGGGGGCGGGAGACCCCATAGATCACAGCCACTCATCCTTTATACTTAAGTCCATAACCCAGGACACCTGGGTGCACATGCACAATTACATAAGACAATAACCAAGGAACACCTGGGCGCACGTGCATATTTACATCAAATGCTCAGCAAGATTCTGAACATCTTAGGGGCTCTGATCATTTTCCTTCACTTTCCCTACAACATGTAACTGGGGAACAACATTTATAAGGGACATTCTTGAAGTGTTTAGTGCCTGGAAGTGTTAGGCATTCATCAGATGCTTTTTTCCTAACTCCACCTCAGACCTATTGCGTGCATTTTGATGAACAGGCTGTGTTCATGCAATATGAAGCAGAGAGCTGAGTTCTTCCCTAGAGAGAAAGGCTTCACAGTCTACTCTTGTCCACCATGTGTTCTTAATGACGGAGTCCAGAGGGAAGAAGGCCATGCAGTGTTTGACCACATTGACTGAAAAACACTTCAGGACACAATTGTTGGTAAAGAAAAGTGCTATTTATTTGTTCATGAATGTGTAGGTTCTTTTAAAATCAGTGAAACTTCCCCTTACAGTATCCCTACCTCATGTCCCTAATCACTTTGGATCCAATGGCTACTTCTAGAAAAAGGAGGAACTCATCCTAGACATCCACAAAAGGGTGCAGCTTGAGGAATGAGCACATGGCTCAAGCAGCAGCACCAGCTGATAAGGGCATTCCTCAAAGCAGCTCGATTTGGCCTGTGAGTCCCTTTTACCTGGTCAGAACTCCCCCAGCAGTGTCCCACTCTCAGAGTTCCTTGTGTGGCCTGGGCTTTAGAGTTAGAATCACAATTATCATCTTTAGAGCTGGAGAGCCTCTGAGAGATGACTGTTCTCAGCCACCCTCCACACCAGCTTTATAGATGAGGTCACATAGCTCATAACTGGCAGAGCCAAAATTTGGGTATTCAGACTATCAAATCAAATGTCTTTTCTACTATACATCCTTCCCTCTAAGAAAGCAACCAACATCTGCCCCCAGTTCTAAGAACAACTGGAGCAAGCAGGTGGTGGTGATTAGCACAGGTGGAAAAGACCCAGCTAAAGGGAGTCATGCTGACCCCAGCTGAGCCCAAAAGTGATGAACCACAGCACTTCCCAATCTCCCCCCAATGGAATGTTATCAGTGCAGACACCAACTCTTGCCAGGATTCTCCTCCTGTTAGCCACACTGAACCATGGATGGAAACATGTTTTACCACCATCCCAGGCTCCTTACCAACTGTGACAGGCTCCAACTGGTACGGAACCATGGTGATGAGCTTCCCACCAGACTTGTAATCCAGTTTATCCAATCTGTGTCTTGATGCTATAAGACCCAATCCACACTCTTCAGCTGATTTAGATGGGATCTCTTAGCAAACATGGCTAAAATCTCTCTGTGCTATACTGGGAGAAGGAAGGAATCACAGATGCTGTCCTCCCAGCAGGAGCTCATTAACATGCCTGGCATGAGGAGAACTGAGTCCAGGAGAAAGAAGGGACTCAAAAGAAGATAGACACAGAGAGCAGGGAGCCAGACCAGCTGTGATTCTTTCTGCATATCCAACTCCTGAAGAGAAGGAACCACAGATACACAGGGAGATGTGTCTGTGGCTAAGTTTCAAGGAAGGCTGAGAGTAAGAGGAATCTAGAGGGCTGTGATGTTGTAAAAGCCAGTGAACAGGGTGTTTCACCAAGGAAGTGGTGCACAGTGTGAAATGCTGTGGACAGTTCAAGACAGTTGAAGACTAAAAGGTATTCATTTGATTTGGCAACTGCGTAGTTGCTGGTATCTTTTATGAAAAACTATAGAGGGATGAAGAGCAACAGAGAATCAATGAAAAAGATTCTTTTTTAAAGAAACTTGGCTGACAAGGAAAGAGCATAGGGGCCACAGACTTTAAGAAACTTTATTTTAATCTTGGGGAGAACGTTGCTTGTGTGTGGGCTACATGGAGGTAACCAGTGGTGAGGGAGGCTGAAGACCCAGGAAGTGGGAGCAGTGGGATAAGTGAGGGAGCAAAGTCTTGGAGAACATATAACAGGATTCAAGAAATAGAGAACTAAACAGGAGCAAGGAAGGAAGGAGATACAGACACATAAAGGGGAGGGGGGAGAAGAGCAGCAGGCAAGGAAGTTCTTGCTTTAGGGGCTGTCTTCCGTGAAGTGGACAATGAGGTCAATCATTTTCTGAGAGCACAGATGAAGGGCATAGATGGAAAAGAAGTGTAATGACAAGCTAAAGAATTTCCAGTCAATACTGAGAGCACAACTGAGGCTGTCAACTACGAATTCATCATGTTCAGCAGTCCAGGAAGAGGGAGCAGAAAATAGAATGATGCAGAAAATGGTGAATGGTTGATATTTCAGCAAAAGTTGGAGGGGAAGAGAAAGTTCAGCATGCTGATAAAATGTCAGTGTGTGATGGGCCAAGGGTTCAGACTGGGGAGAGAGAGAAGTCCAGGAGAAGGCTGAACGAGAGGAAGAAGAGAGGGCAGAAGTCATGGAAATGGTCTAAAGGAACAGGGCAATTTTAGCAGCAGTGAGCAAGAGAGCGGGAAAAGAAGCAGCACAGGAGGTGACAGAGTGGTCTCTACCTGATTCAGATGAAGCAAAGGCTCAGTTCAGGAATTTAGAAGAGAAGACCATAGGTGACCCTATGGAGTGAGAGAGGGAGCACAGCAGAGCCAGGAACAAACAAGAAAGGGCCTGGGTCTAGGAGACAGGCAAAGACCTGTCACCAGAAATGGGTACAGGGAGCCAGAGTCTGTTGAGGTTGATGGCAGGGCCTGCCGTGAAGCAAAGCCTATGAGGGTCTGGTGACAGCCACTCAGGGAGGGGGTGCCAGAGGCAGGCAGAGTGTGTAGTCAGCTACTGCTAGAAGTCAGGCAGGGCCAATCTACCCATGTTCTGTGGAATGCTCTGCAAATTCCCCCTGAAGCAAAGCCTATGAGGGTCTGGTGACAGCCACTCAGGGAGGGGGTGCCAGAGGCAGGCAGGGTGTGTAGTCAGCTACTGCTAGAAGTCAGGCAGGGCCAATCTACCCATGTTCTGTGGAATGCTCTGCAAATTCCCCCCGCACCAGTTTTTTACAAAAATGCTCTTTGCATCAACTGAAGCCACTCTATTATCCTGTTTCTCAGCACACCCAAGAAGTCAAATTCTCCTCTAGGACTTCATGCTATACCATAAGAACCCAGAACTCACTACATTTCCATTACATGACTTGGTCAAGGGCCAAAGAACTTAACTGACTTCAAAGTGGGGCCATTATGGGAACAAGTCAAAAGCAGGATCAGCTCAAATATTAGCAAACAGCCACTGAAGGCAGTCACTTGGCTAGCAAATATTTTTTAGTTTATAAAAAGTCATGTTTCTACATGCAAAGACAAAACAAAACCATGACTTGAAACATTGGTGCTAGGTATATAGGAAAATCCAGAAAGAGGGCAGTGCCATGGAATAAACAGCATAGGGATGGTATGGTGGGCTAGGGCCTCACACTCTTGGAGGAAGCGATACCCTAACTCCCACCACGCCCTGGTCAGGTGCCTAACATGAAGGATCTCTATGATAGAAAAGGAATATGTGACTCTCTACCACATCACTAAGATCCCCCTGGCCTAGCAGGCTATCCTTGGGCCCAGCAGGCCACACCCAAGCTGAGAGCCTCACGCAAAGGAAGGAAGCCAAGCTTTTAATTGGGCATTTCTGCTTCATATTTATGGTCTCCAGTTGGTCCTGGGGAAGAATCTCAATCAGGTTTGAGCCTGTCATAGAAAGAGTCCTCATTGGCTGCCCAACACCAAGTCCCACAAAGCTCACTCAGGGATGGTGGAAATGTGGAGCACACTAAGGAAAGATGAGCCAAGAGCAAGAATTAGTGAGGCAAGTACAGAGGGAACCTTGCCAAGCCAACTAAACTGAGAAAAAGATTCAAAAATTGAAAGGGAAATGGCCAGAGTCCAAAACAGAAAGTCATGTGAGCTCCCAGAGACCTAAGTCGAAAGATTGCCTGCCTAGTAATGCATTAAAAACTTTGTTACCCCAAACTAGAAAACTGAATTATAGAAGCCCACGTGGTTAGGAGACTTGGCATGTGTGCAGCTGAAAGAATGGCAAGTCAATGAGCATGGTTTGATTTGAAGTGAAGATGATCATTCAGCCTGGGTAAAGAAGGAAATGAGCAGTACTATGGACTCACAAGAAGAGAAGGAATGTTCCCTGATAAAAAATACTCATCAGCAAAGGCCTACAAACAAAAACTTCCTTAAACTGCATCTCTCAGCAAAAACAAAGCCATGACTGAGACTCCCTTGAAATTAGCCATTCCATGAGAGGACTAGGGAGAGGGTCTCTGGGCCAGGCCACTGAAATGTCAGGCCCTCAGCTCCCCTACAATATCAGCAATAGGCCCCTTCCCAACCAAGCCCTTGCTTGTGAGGGAGCCTGACTCCCAGTATCTGTCTGTGCCACTTTCTCACAAACACCCTGCATGGACCATGAAGTTCCATTTGAGATGCAGCCTGGAGCACTTGTCCCCATGGCTTCTAGGACATTTCTCTCTGCATTCTAGGAGAACTAAGGACCTGAAGTTGCTTCAGGGTCACTGAAGGCCACTGACTTCTCACCTCTCGATTTTCCTCTTCTCCACCCTACACAGCACCCCCCCCACCCCCACCCCTTGAAGCCTAGGTCTGGCTCCTGCTGGTCCCTGTGGCCTTCTCCAACCTCCAACAACAAAGAAGGGTTGCCAGTAGAGTGTTGGCTTTTCCTGGGCTGTGGACAGCCTGGAGGCAGGCTAGTCAGAGGACTCACTTCTGATCTTTGGCTCTGCAAACTTGGAGAGGTTGAGAACCAGACTCTCTAAGCAGGAGGAGAGGCCTATCATAGTGAGTTGGTTGTGGGTTACTCTCTTTGCCCAGAGAACTCTGTACCTGAAGCAGACAGCAGCTGCTTCATATTCTTCCCCAGCATAAGTCAGGAACCAGGTCTGACTGGAGATGATGTAGGGGTGGCCACTGACAACCACTAACAATCACTTCTAGGAAAGCAGGTTCTGATACCAAAGAAGTGCTATTAGCCCAAAGTGGCACAGAGGGCATACTCTGAAGCTGACATCTTCTTAAACCTGCAAGTGAAATCTGAACTGGAAGATGTAAGTGGGTCTCTGCACAGCCACCCAGCTCAGTCAAGAATGCCATACCATCCAGAGCACTTTCACAGCAGCCACCTAAGTCAACACCAGGAAAAGGGGTATGAAAAACAAATACCCTGAAAACCGTTAGAACTCAAGTAGGCACCAGTTGAGACCTTTGGCCTCTAGAAGCCTCCATTATTCTGCTCATGGCAGGTGCCTCTGTCCTGACAGACATGCAAAGGCAAACAGTGACAGTCTTTGGCTGTGCTGGGCCAGGGATCACAGGCCTGCCATATGTCCAAACCTCTCTCCTTTCCTTTACCCACTTCTGAACCCAAGAGGAGTTCAGATAATATACATTGCTCCTGAGCCCTGGGCACTGAAAGGTGAGAAAGGTTTGCCTTCTTCAGCAGAAATAATTCACCAAGGATGTTAGGTCCTCCTGAACCCAACCAGGCATGGTCTTGTCAAGTGGACCCTAACTTCTGCTCACTCTGGTGATAAGGAACACCTCCCTCTTTCCTTTTTATTACTGAAATCTTCTCTGTAGTGGATGCACTATGGCTCCCAAATAAATGCTGTAAATGCAAACGGCAAAGAAGAGCACTACACAGCTCAACAAGACTCATCTCACATCCACATTTTGAAGAGAATAAGCTGAAAGATGGGGAGGAATGGACAACAGGATGGGTCCCTAGCTGCCAGAGTGCTCAGTCTCCTTCCATTTCTCACACCTGGGAGATGCTGTTGGCCAGGCGGAATGACATTCTCTTTGCTTTTTCATTCTCCTGAAAGAAAGAAGAAAAAGAAAAAAAAAAAAAAATATATATATATATATATTTAATTCTAATTCCAAATATTTTTAATTCTAATTCCAAATATATACATATACATATTTGGAATTAGAATAGCCAAACATAGGATTTATTAACATGAAAAGGCTGTGTCAAGGTTGGGATTCTCCAGAGTCAAAGTGTTTTATTCTACCCCAGGAATGCAAAAGCAAAATTCACTGACACCACTAAACACTGTGTGTTGAGTTATCATAAACAACTAGGAATGTCTGGTCAGACCCTGGTACACAGTAAGCAGGAAATAAATTTCAGTGGGATTAAACAGCATTGAATTGATATTTCATGTCTCCATAGGTGGGACCAGCCAAAAGGTCAGAGGAGCTCTCTTTGCAGCAAGCAATACCTCTCCTTTTTCCTTACACCAAGGAGCTGAAAAAGATCCCTTCCTTCCCACCTCAAACCCAAGTAGAGATCAGATACTGATCTTCTCACAGGCATCACAGTCATAGTATACTATAACCAGCACCAAACTGGGAGTCAGAATGCCTGGTTTCTTACCCTAGAGCTGTTGTTAATTTGCTGGGTGATCCTGGGCAGGTACATGCACCTCTCTGAGTTTTGAGCCTCATTGATGACTGGAGTAAATGACCCCCATATTGCCCTGCCTTCCTTGCAGGCCAAGGGGTTATATATGAGGGTTTACTGCCACCACTATCTCTCATGTCACCTGAGCAGCTTCACTTTCAGTTGTTCTATACATGCTGCTCATGCGTGCCCCTGACTGCCCAATCACCTGCCCACCTGCTGCCACCTGGCAGCAACTCTTTACCATATGTCGTCTCCGCCTCTTGGGTTGGATTCCCTCCTGCATGTAGTGCGGCCAAGGGAACCCATGGGGAGTAGAACATCCACTCTCACTAGACACCTCCTCGGAGTCTGAGTCCTCTTGTCTTGGCTGGGCAAACAGTTTTTCCGGGTAGATCTCCTTCAACCAGCCCTCAAAGAACACTTCCAGGCAGCGGCCAGCCTCTGCAACCTCTGAGTCGGGCTGATGGGGGAAGACAGCAATTATGATCTGGCCCATTTCTACCAGTCCATCTCTTTCAGGTCCCTCAAGAGCTATATAGAGAGCATGAAGCCTGGCTGGGTCTCCTGGTATGTCTGGAACTTGACATTTTCTCCTATGACTCAGGATATCCAGTTTGGTAGCAGCTCTTAAAGCAGAAGTGTCCCTGACGGGTCTCCAAAGATGGCCAGTCACTAGTGTCTCCCCATCTTCCTCCTGAGCCCATGCTGAGACCCAAATGTATGAGAGCACTTTTAAACACTCACCACAGCAGGCCCCTGGAGTCTTCTCCCAGGTCCCCATGATAGCCCAGGACCAACCTGACCCCCCACTCCCACCCATCCATGACAGTCTTGGGGTCACTGGGAAATAGGAAAGAGGGAAAACAAGCAAGACATACATAGTTGAACTTAGCACAGTTCCAGAACATGAGGCGCACGTCTGATACCACCTCCTCTGGGGTGGTATAATGAGCCGGGTCCTTCTTTTGAAGCTTCCTCCGGATGATTGACAGGTCCATGGGCCTCTTGATAATCTGGTAATAATGCCGGGCCTTAGGGGAGAAGAGGAGAGCAGAAGAAGGAAAAAGAAGAAGAGTGAAGATGTGAGGTACAGATAAGAAGGAAGAAGAGATAGAGAATGAGTTGGAATATATGTGAAAGAACAGAAGAAAAAGATAAGGATCAGCAGGAAGAAAAGCATGAAGAAAGAAGACAAAGAGGAAAGGAGGAGTGTGTCACTTGCCAAGTCATGTCTGATGTAGTAGCAGTTGGGGGGGGGGAAAAGAGGAAAGGAGGAGTGTGTCACTTGCCAAGTCATGTCTGATGTAGTAGCAGTTGGGGGGTCAGCTGGAGTGGCCATGTCCCCCAGAGCCTCCTGGACCATTCACAAATTCAATATTGTCACTACTTCCAGTGGCCATGCTCTGAGTAACCCCTGGATACCACCACGATCCTGCTCCATGGCCTAGGCCATCAGAGCAGAAAGGACAGCAGCAAGCAGAAACAGTGAGGCCTTCCTTACCAGGGGGCTGACAGGTTCATGGAAGGGCAGGCTGAGGCTATTGCAGCACAAGGACAGTACCAGCTTCTCACACTTCTGCAGAAATCAGAATTGGCAACAGTGTCACTTTGTTCTGGCCCCACCTCTAAAAGAACCAAAGATGGTGACCCTAATAATTCTCTGACTCTACCCCATAGGGTGCCAGCCACCATACTAAGGCACAGTTCAGGCTTCCAAGACCCAAGAAAACTACTGGGAGAAGGAAAATCATACAAACCCCCATGGCCAAGTCGTCAGGCATAGCCCAAAAGAAAGGTACCCAGAAAGCCTCTCATCTCTCTGAAAGGCCTCAGTCCCTGCAGGGGTAGAGGGGCTATCCTGGGCACGGAACACTGTTCCCAGAGACTCCTCCCTACCTTCTGGTCATATGTGCTCAGGCCAGGAGGTGCTCGCATTCCAGGCTGGTCATAGCGGGCATTCTCACAGTCGTACTCCATCTCAGGCTGCGTCAGGCTGCGGCACAAGGTACACACCCAGTCTCCCCTGCATAAATAGGGGAGGCCATGTTAGGTCTCGGCACATGCCCTGAGTATCCTTCCCTGTCCCTCTGCCCCAAAACAGGTGTGGGAGGTGATAGTGTAGGAAACTGAGTCCCTAACCCTGCCTGGTAGGAAATGGCTTCCTAGCCACAAGCTTGAAAGAAATTCAGTAACTCAGGATTTAGTGAATCCAGAAAAATGGGAGTTAGGGGAAGCTGGGGTAAGAGTATAGGCACAAATCTGTGTGCAAGAAGAAGCTGAGAAAAGAGGAGGATGGGAAGGCAACCAAGTTTCAAATATCCACCTGTCTGTGTGCAGAAGGCACACAGCTGTAGGGGCCACTAAACTCTCAGATCTGCAGTTCATGCAGGCCTAGAAAAGGGGAGGAAGCTCAGAAGAGGGGATCTCTGTGGGCCTGGCCTGGAATAATAACCACTGAAAGACAACCCTGCTAGCCAGGTGATGGCCCTGGACTGGTATCACTCACCCTGGGAAGCTGAGCAAGGCTGGCACATGGCAGGTAAGGTGGTACACTTTGGGGCAGCGGTCACAGCACAGCAACTCTCCCCCATTGAGACACACAGCACAGAAGTCCTCATTCTCTATTGGGGCCGGGGGCCCCTTCTTGGCTCCAGGGCCTCGAGGAATAAGTCTGTGTTCTTCAGAAGATGCACCCTCCACCTCTGGTGGCTGCTGCCCAGCCAGAGAAGTGACAGTAACCTTTCTTCCCCCCAAACCTGGGGCCCGGATGGCATTAGATAGGCTGTCCTGGCTGACCTTGGGGAAGAAATGAGTCTGAGCAGAGCACAAGATTGACAAGTTGTAGAGGGAAAGAGGGGAGGGACTGATGGTCACTGAACACCTACTATGAGAACCACTTATTTCAGGACCCCAAACCAGCCAAGCCCCATGAATGCTGGGACAGCTCACTCCTGATGTGCATTTCATAGGCTCCTTGCAGCAGGGGACAAAGACTGGCCAAGCTATAGCCCCACTCCGAGACTCAGGAAAGGCCCCAGAGCCAGAATTCTGACAGTAGCAGAAAGAAAGGAGAGGCTTGTAGGCTGGGCCAAGGTTCAAAGCCACAGCAGAGCAAAGTGGTACCTTAATGGACATGCTGGAAGACTCAGTGCCACACTCAATGATCAGCAGGAAGCTCCCATCCTGATCATTCTTCTGTGGCTTTAGCTTGAACACAGGCATCTCTCCTGAGGAGGCAGCACAGATCTTGAGTCGCTCCAGTCGCACGTAGGGAATCTTGGGCTGACTGTTGAAGGCTCTGTGACAAGAGAGACACTCCTGGGTCTTGTTGGGAGCCTCTTCTGTCCCCAACCTCTAAATCAGGCTCATCTGTGGTGCCACAACTCAAGATCTCCTCAGTCTGACCCTCTACCCATCCACATTCTGCCCTCCTGCTCAGCTCTGCCTGGCCAGGCCCTGTCAGCCACTGGGAAGGCCTTTAGTACAGTCCCTGGTCAAGAAAGGGGGCTCCATGAATAGGGAGGACTGCACACAGAGCATGTGCCTTACAGTGCAGGAGACAGGACGTCTGGATAACAACACAGACCCCACTTGATGAAGACAACTGCAAGCAAACTTCCACTTTTAGTTAAGTCATCAAAGATGTTTACTTCCTGTGCCAACTTTGCAGGACATGAAGTTGGGGGTGGGAGGAGAAGGTTGGCCAAGAGTCTATTACCTGATGTTCTGGTTCTCTTTTGTATCCAGCTCTAGGGCTCCTTGTTCAAAATTCTCATACTCTGAGGCAAAATACAAATAAATACCTGTGACATACATTTGTTACACATACCCTATCATTCACACCTTCCACTACTATCTGCTATTTATACCTTTGGCCACACACCTCTCACACAATTGTTACCTACATTGTAATCATTCATAGTAGTGACAATCCTACTATGGATCTCCTTCCTGAGAGAGGAGGAAGGCTACTCGTTTAAAAAGATGAACACAGATAACACTCAGAGGCTCCCTACAAGTGAGTGTTGGGTCAGGCACTGAGTGGCCGACTTCTCACCTTTGAAATGAGTTCAAAAATCACCTGCTCTCAGGGGCCAGCCCGGTAGCGCACTGCTACAGTGCGCCGCTTGGGAAGCGCGGCAGCGCTCCCGCCGAGTGTTCGGATCCCACATACAGACCGGCCGCTCACTGGCTGAGTGAGGCGTGGGGGCAACACCGAGGGTTGCCATCCCGTTGCCGGTCCCGGTCCGGTACAGGCGCGACACTGAGGGTTGCGATCCGTTGCCAGTCACGAAAAAAGACAAAAAAAATCACTTGCTCTCAGTACACTGGTGTTGCCTGATCTGAGGAGTCAATCTGTCCAGCCTCTGCCTTTTCGGCCAAGTGCTGGGATTCTAGTACTGCCAGTTCACACTCCCAGGGATCCCTCCTTGGAGCAGTGCAGTCTATGTAGATGAGCAGGAGGCAGTGGTGGGACCAAAGAGGGAACTAGCACTTATTGCACATCCACTCAGCACCAGGCACTGTCCTAGGCATTTATATGGGCAAGCAGGGTCCAAACAATTTAATTGCATAAAATGCAGGGTTACATGTGTAATGAGATCCAATAATCTTTCAGTTGGTCTTTCAGACAGTGTGAGGAAAAAAGAAAAATGTTTCTCTTGTTTTCATTTATTAAATGTATAGGAAACAGACTAATCATTACAAATTAAAACACACATCATACACTAAACTGAAAAAGTCCCAAATGATCACTAGGTAGTCACTTCCTAACTTCCCAACTAGCCCTCACCTTCCACAGAAGAACGAATCTTAGCATAGCCCAGTTTGAGAAGTGCCAATCACAGCCAATCTCCAATGGTCCAAATTCCCTTTACTATGAGGCACAACACAAACTCACATTACTTCTGAGTACAAGGAAAATTCTTGCTACTACAGAGTAAGTTATCAAATTATTTCATTGTAGTTATTTGTCCCAGTAACCTATGAAGTAGGTATAAAGTCAGACATCCCCTTCTCCTCCCTATTATATTTTGTTAAGGCTAGACCTCCCGGGGTGAGTTCTCCCTACATATAACGCAGACCCCCAGGACGTTTTGCATGGGGAATGTTACAGGAGGTTAAATCCTGGCCATGCCTGGATCAGCCATGGCCACAGTGAAGGAGGCAGAACAGGTGTCAATAAGTCAGTTTTGGAGGAGAGAAGTGACTTTAGCCTCTGAGGGAAGCACTTCTCCCCCGGTTTGGAGCCTATCTGCTGGCCTCTATCTCACCTGGAAGTGCTCAGTCCATCTGCTCAAGTCTATGGCCAACGCAAAAGGTAGGCTGCTTACTTGAGTCTCACCTTTTGGGGTCCGGTATTGCTGCAGAGCCGTACATGGGTTGACCACTGGCGCCAGAGGAGGTTTTTTCACAGAGAGGTTAATTGGTTCCTCCAGTTCTGAAGAGATAGCCAAGTCCTCGTGCACATCCAGACCAGGAGCAGTGGAGCCTTGTCCCAGTGAGTCAGTGAAGCGGGTGGAATCCTCATTTTCCATCTTTCAGAAGTGAAATGTCAATAAGAATCAAATAAATCAGACACTATTGCCATTAGCAGTCTCAGAGCTGTTAAACTAAGGCCAGGATAAAGCCTTCAGTGGCCAAACTTTTACCCAGTGACGAGCAGAGAAAGCTGAATGGCATTTCCCCCAAGACTTACCTTACACAGGGCATTTCCCATAGAGGGGTCAGCCCCATCCCCATGGCACAGGCTCCCTGCAGTTCGGCCAGAGCCAGGACTGGAGCTGGATCCAGTTTCTGGCTGCATATCAGAAACCAGAGGCATGCTCTGCAGAGGACAAGTTGCCAGACTTGGCACAGCCTGGTTATGACCAGACATTAGGCTGGGCCCGGCCTGAGAGTGATCACTTGCTAGGCTGACGATGGCCTGGGGGGAATCACTCATTGGGTTGGGCATGGACTGGAATGTGCCACGAACAATGCTGGGCATGGTCTGTAGGTGACTGGTTGTCAGGCTGGGCATGGCCTGGTTTTGAACACTTGTCAGGCTGGACACAGTTTGGGGAGGGCCACTCAGCAGGCTTGGTACTGCCTGGGGGGTGGCATCTGTCAGGCTGCTCATGCTTTGGATCTGTGGCTCTAGGGTCCTCGCCAGCCTGGTAGATGATAACTCCATCTCCAGAGTGTTGGAGAAGCCCATGATGCTCACTGAGGTAGAGTGCTGTGGGAGCAGAGACAAGGGTAGAATCAGGCTGTTAGCTGAGAATTATGGGAGGGAGAGGGGGAGACCCAGCCCACAAGAGCTCCCATGCTCATATTCCATCCACTCTGGCCTCAGACTCTAGTAGCTGCTGGGCACTCAGGCAGCACATGAATTTCCTACACCAAGGAGGCTGATAGGCTATGACAGAGAGGAAGGCACAGGCTGAGGACATGGGTGTGTGTGTGTGGGCACGCGTGCATGTGTGTCAGAGAGAGAGCAAGCATGAGGGAAAGAGAGAGAGCGCATGCACCTACCACCTGACCTGAGGTACACACACACACACACACACACACACACACACACACACACACAGACACCATCAGCCACATTCCCCACCCCCAGTCTTGTACCTAAGCAAAGAGTCATACTGTGGGACTGCCCTCTAATTTCACATTCTTCTCTGACTATATCACTAGTGGCTTCTCTTCCCTTCAAAGGGTCTTACAGGATAGTCTCTGCTACATAAAAGTGGCAGGAGGTTAAGAAGGCTCAAACTCTGATCTGCATCAGATCTTCTTCTTTGAGAGAATGCCAAGGCTTAGAAAGTCCAGATCAGTGTTAGAGAACCTGGCAACTCCAGGGCCTTCTTATAGACTTGTTCAGAACAACTACAAGCATCATCGTCATTTGATAAAGGCTTTAACTGAGATATCTGAAGGTCTTTTGTAGCCCTAGTATACCTGCCAAAGACATTCCAAACCAGAGATAGAGAATTTCAGAGCAGCTAAATCTTAATATGACCCAGTCTGTACAATCATTGGATGAGACAAAGATGTTCCAACTCCAAAAATTCTTTTCTTATGTCTAACTACTTGACCTAAGGAGAAGAGACTTAAAAGGATGATAGAAAGAAGTTGAAATATAGGTCTCTGGTATCCTTAGCTTTGTTTCCTCCTTCTGAAAGTTCAATATGTTATTGTCATTTTTTTCTTCCTTTCTTTCCTTCTCTCTTTCTATCTTTCTTTCCTTCCTTCCTTCTTTCTTAGCACCCAGTTATAGGTGAGAACATGAAGTATTTCTCTTTTTGTGTCTGGCTTATTTTGCTTAAGATCATTTTCTCCAGGCTCATCCATGTTGCTGCAAATGTCAGAATTTCATTCTTTTTAATGGCTGAGGATACTAGATACAGGGGGGGAAGGTGAGAGGAGGGTTGGGGAGTGATAAGTTGGTTGGAGGGCATGGGGAAAGACTACAATTTGTAAAGATGAATATGCTAATAATAAAAAAATAAAATAAGAAAATAAATTAAAAAAATAAAATCTTACTTCCTTAAATGGGGGGGGGGGGGGGGAAATTAGGGTTTTTTGTTTAAACTCTCTTTTTTTTCCGTGTGGAAAAAAAAATTTTGGGGGGGGGGGGGGGGGGGGGG